CAGACAGTGGCTGTGTGTGTGCCACAGTCTGTCCACAATTGGTCCCCATCCTCGAGTAGTGCACAAGTCGTAAAGTACACTGAGAATGAGAGAGTGAGAGAGACAGTCACAAGCTCACAAGCTCTTTCTGCTCTCTCTCTCTCTCCATTTCACTCATCTGCCACTCACTCACTCATTCAGTCAGTCAGTCTCTCATTCGGTGGATTCTACTTTGGGATGCGACACTGCGAGTACTGCCGCTGTTCTGCTGCTGTTGCCATTCGCCTAAGAATTGCTGCTGCTGCTGCCTGTGCCTGGTAGGGGAGAGCCAAATTGGCGCACTTTCCCGGACGACCGTCGCCCTACAGAGGCTGTGTGTGTGTGGTTGTGTTGGGAGTGCCGGCACAGTGCCAGTGACTCACACTTTCTCAGTGGCAGTGTCTCCGTGCCCAGTCCATTCACTCCATTTCACTGTCGGCGTGGTTGTCGCTGCCCTCTATAGTCAGCATCTATAGCACTCACCCAACTCACCGACAGAAAGAGTGTGGCCATACTGTGGACACACTGGCGCACCTTCCTTCCTGCCCTCCGCCACCACCACCACTGTCCAGACCAAAGTGTGAGCTGTGAAGAGTGCCAGTGTGTGAGTGTGTGACTGCCTGTCAACACCCAAAGCACCAGCTTTTGTGCTGTTCGCCTGACTGGTCATTGCTGCGCATTCCCCCGGTCGGCTACAAGTAGTGGACTACTGTTGTCTTCTCTCTCCTGCTGGTCATTGATTCCTCTTACTACTACTCCTCCTCCTCCACCATCATCACAATATTCATCTCATCTATTTATTTTTTTCATCATCATCAAGTGAACTAAATTCCCGCCAACTTTCCACTTCTGCGTTTCTGTTGTGAATAGTGATCGCATAATCTTTTTGCATTAATTGTTGATTGCTACTCTTCAAATTCTATCATACCCCACTCACACGCACACTCCTCCCAAAATGTTGTCCTGCATCAAGAGCATCGTCGTGCTCTACAACTTTCTCTTCTGGGTATGCATTAGGCATCATCCAAGAGACTAGATAAAATTCTCTAAACTAACATGCTTTTTATCTTGCAGTTGCTAGGGGTGCTTATCCTCGGCTTCAGCGCCTACCTCTGGTGGGACTCTGCCAGCTACCTGGACCTGAATGAGCTGAGCGAAGTCTACGTGACGCCCTTCATTGTGCTGCTAGTGCTGGGCGTCATCATGACCGTCGTCGGCTTCCTCGGCTGCTGTGGCGCCATTCGTGAGTCACGCTGCCTGCTCAGCATGGTAAGTGTGCTCACGAGTAGTGAAATTCATCGAAAGTGCTAACACACATTCTCCCCCCCCCTCAATTCAGTACTTTCTCTTCTGCATGAGCATGTGCATCGCCTGTGGAGCGCTCTTCTTCTGGGTCATTCAAAATGAAGAAGTGGTAAGTGCTGATGGGACCCCCATTT